CATCCTTCAGAATCCTTGTCAGAGCGTTCCTTTCTTATGGAGACTTGCTCATGACTCCACCCACCCCACCCCCCAGACTTGCTTCCATGCCACCTTGTTCAGCTCTTACACTGCGCAGCCCACCTCTCTAAAACAAGAAATCTTGGCTCCATCTTCTGTGTCCTGCACAGCATAAAACACAGTGTGTAAAACACTCACTCACTCAGTGAATTCATTTGATTTGATATTATTTTATGGATCAGGTTATGATTAGAAGAAAGAATTTATGGTACCCTAGATATGCAAGTGGTCCCCAGGGAAGTGTGCCTTGGTAGAGAGAGTGCTTGATGGAGAGTCAAAACTCATGGCTTTGACTTATTTTTTTTTAAAGATTTTATTTATTTATTTATTTATTTTAGAGATGGGGGGAGGAGCAGAGGGAGAGAGAATCTCAAGCAGACTCCCCGCCAAGCACGGAGGCTGACGCGGGGCTCTATCTCACGACCGTGAGATCATGACCTGAGCCGAAATCAAGAGTCAGATGCTTAACTGACTGAGTCACCCAAGTGCCCCCAAAACTCATGGCCTTGGGCGCCTGGGTGGCTCAGTTGGTTAAGTGACTGCCTTCGGCTCAGGTCATGATCCTGGAGTCCCGGGATCGAGTCCCGCATCGGACTCCCTGCTTGGCAGGGAGCCTGCTTCTGCCTCTGACCCTCCCCCCTCTCATGTGCTCTCTCTCTCTCATTCTCTCTGTCTCAAATAAATAAATAAAATCTTTAAAAAAAAAAAAAACTCATGGCCTTGACTTCTCGTTCTGCTATTGTGGGGCATGAAAACAATCACTTTTTACTCTTTGGGCTTCAGTTTCTAGGAGGACACACACAGGTATTATCCTGTTGCTGCTATAACAACCTAAGCTGTCAAAAAGAACACCTCTGTATTATCTCACAGATCTGTAGATCAGAAGTCCAGGCTGGCCTGTCAAGGTGCTCTGCTTAGGGTCTCATAAAGCTGAAATCAAAGTGCCAGCACGCTGCATTTTCTTCAGGAGCTCAAGATTCGCTTCCAAACTCATTCCTGTTAGGGCAGATTTCAGTTCTTTGCAGCGAGGTACGCCTAGAGTCCCCGTTTCCTTGTCAGCTATCAGCCAGGGGCCACCTTTGGCTCCGGGAGGCTACCCACATTCCTTCTCAAGTAATCACCCCCATCTCAAAGCAGGAATAGTGTGCTGAGTCTCTCTCCTGCTTCGACTCTCTCTGCTTCTCCCTTCTGCCACCAGGCTGAGAATGGTTCTCTGTTCTTAGGGGCTCATGTGATTTGATTAGATCTTCCCAAATATCTCCATATTTTGGGGTCCCTTGTGCTATATAACATAAAACTATCCTTGTATGACAGTCTCATCACATTCGCAGCCCCCAGAGATTAGAGTGGGACGCCTTGGGGAGCATTCCTAGAAATTCTACCTACCGCCACATGGCAATATGGGGGTTAGGCAAGATGATTGCTAAGTTCCTTCAGATTTCCTTTGTTGGACTTCATTTCACCCCCTACCATACTATCACATACTGCCAAGCAGCAGCCTCTGCTCTCCTTCCTCCTTCATCCAGCCTGCCTTTACCTCTGTCCTCACTCCCACAAAACCGGCATTAGCTCCTTCCTCCTCTCAGTCCTACTTTACACTTTGAGTTTGAATCTCCCCTGGGTGCTAAGCAGTGTGACATTCCTTATTTCATTTCTTCTTCCGCCAGCCGTCCAATGAGTTAGGCAATATCATTCCCATTTTGCAGATCCAAGAACTAAGTTTTGAAGAGGTTAAATATCCAGCCCCAGATTAGAGGGTAAGTTTAACTCCAACATCCACATTCTTTCCAGTACCTGTCAGTGTGTGGGGAGATAATGAGGCCAGGAGACGGGGAAGGGAAGACAGAGCACACGCATTCCCCCTCAACCACCCCCCCACACACACACTCCAGCTTAAAATGAGATGGAGATAAAGCCCCAGTAGTGACCTGGGCAGTTCTCGGACTGCTGGAGGTGCCCAGGGTCTGTGAGTGGATGGCCAGGTGTTATGACTCTGCTGGGGAACAAAAGCCATTTGGTGAAAATGTACCCATTCATTCCACTTCACATCCCTTGGGTTGGCAAAATTTAAGTCTTTCAGCCTCAGGTGTCCGGAGCTCTTTCCCTGCCTGTGAGAGCGTAAGTCGGTACAACCACTTTGGAGAGCAAATTTGGCAATATCTGGCAAAACTGAGAAGAGCGTTGCCCGGCCACAGCAATTCCACTCCTGTGCACATGCCCCTGTGCACCTGCAGGGGAAATGAGTTCAAGATCTTCACTAGTATCATTTATCATTGGAAAAAATAGAAATCACCTAAATGTGCATCAGCAGGAAGTGGACAAATGGTAATGTGTTCATATAATTGAATACTATACAGCTGTAAAAATGAATCCAAGCTGTATAGAGGAGCCCGCATGAATCTCACAAATGTAATGTGCTAAAAAAGATCGTCAAGAATAGATTCTTTTGATACCACTTACATAAAGTTTAAAAATGTGGAGTGCATATTGTTTGAGAATCATATGTAATAGTTAAAATATGAATAAATGCAAGGCAATAATAAACACAGAATTCATATCATGATGATTACCTCTGGGTGGGAGGGAAGGGAGTGTGGTAAGAAAGTGTATCAGGGGGGGCGCCTGGGTGGCTCAGTCGTTAAGCTTCTGCCTTCAGCTCAGTTCATGATCCCAGGGTCCTAGAATCGAGCCCCGCATCAGGCTCCTCGCTCTGCAGGAGGCCTGTTTGTCCCTCTCCCACTCCCCCTGCTTGTGTTCCCTCTCTTGCTGTGTCTCTCTCTGTCAAATGAATAAATAAAATCTTTAAAAAAAAAAAAAGAAAGTGTATCAGGGACTTCGTCTATGGGGGTAGTGGTTATTTCTTAAGTGGGGTGCTGTCTATGATAATGCTCTTTAGGTATTTTTTCATATGTGAAATATTTTGTAATAACTATTAAATGGACAAGTAATCACCACCAGGAGGATGCTTACCACAGAACAGTAAGTGGAAAGAGCAGGAAACAAAAGTGGATATTCAGTGTACTCCCAATGTAGAAAAAATAAAAAGAAAAAATTGTAGATTTAAAAAAAAAGACCAGCAGATAATACACCAAAACTGTTAAAAATCTGAGAGTGATCTTTATTGTCTTCTGTATAATAACAACATAGCACTTTATTACATTTTCCAAACTTTTTATATAGTGAGTACATATTACTTTTGAAATAAAATATTGCCCCTTTTTTTAAAAGATGCATTTGTTCTCTCTAAGCACCAAGATGTGATAAATTTTAGCCTGGGGGGGCCTGGGTGGCTCAGTAAGTTGAGCATCTGACTCTTGGTTTTGGCTCTGGTCATGATCTCGTGGGTCATGGGATCGAGCCCCATGTCAGGCTCTGCACTCAGCCCAGCATCTGCTCAAAGATTCTCTCCCTCTGCCCCTCCCTCCACTTGTGCGCTCGTGCTCGCTCTCCCTGTCTCTCTCAGATAAATAAATCTTTAAAAAAAAAATTTAGCTTGAATAAGGGGGACATTTTTTTATTCCGCATTTACTGCAGGAAGCCCTGAGCTAGATCTTAGGGAAAACCTTTTCAGGCTTAGGGTCTGACAGGCCCACATTCACGTCCCAATTCCACCCCTTCCCAGCACCTGCCTTGAGTCTCAGTGTTCCTATCTGTGAAATGGTGATGACAAACCTTCCCTGCTTGTCTCATGGAGCCACTGAGTGGGTAAACAATGAGATGAGGCCCATCGAATGGCACCGTGACCCACTGCAGAGCCTTCCAAAGCACCTACAGCAGCGCCTCCGTGTCAGACTAGACTCTGGGCACCAAGAGAGAAGAGCTGGGTTCTTCCTCTTAAAAGGCAGCCAGAGGATCAGGACAGACAGCACTGTCAGGAGACAATCCAGGACCGAGTGACGAGGACCAGGACAGCACAGAGAGTAGGACATGGCCAGGCTGATCCAAGTAGGGGGACTAGGATGTCACTACTAAATAACTAGAAGGGATAACCTTTATCCTCAAGCACCTCCAAAAAGACTTGCAGACACCAAGCAAACACATCTCAAACAACATATGAACAGAATGAGGGAGGAAATGCATAGCCTAGGCTTGGACCTGGTGCCCGCACTTCCTAGCTGAGTGACCATGTGCATACTGCACCTAATCTTTTGAGTGCCCTCTCCTCTTCCATCATAAGGAGAGGCATGCATGCCTCCTAGGTCTTGCTAAGAGGAATGGTTGAATGAAGCACAGACTCCATCATCAGACACTTTCTCTGGGTCAGGCAGTGTTCTGGGAGCTGAGGATGCTACAGGGAACCAGAGGGACAAGTAGTGTGGCTATCGAAGGGAGATGATACCGGGCAGTCTCTCAAAACAGTGCCCAACACGGTGCACCCGATGCGTGTTTGTGTCCTTGGTGGCATGACCACTATTTTTAAGAAACCTCATAGGGTGGCCTGGAGAGGGCTTGGGGGAGGGGTTAACGTAAGGCAGAACCATAATGGGAATCACGAAGCTGCCATTCATTGGGTACTCAGAACGTAAAGACTTCACATATAATAATTTGTTTGATCCTCACAGCAACCCTATGGGATGGATACTCATCACCCCCATGTTACAGATGAGCAAACTGAGCCACAGATCCATGTAGAACTTGCCTGAGGTTGCACAAGTGGGGAAGCCAAGATCCGAAACCAGTCGCTTTGCTCCTCCCTGCCGTCTCTCGGTGGGTGCCCCAGGCAGGCTGCTTTTAAGAGCTCAGGGCTTCTTTTGGAAGCCCAGATTGCTGGCATTTTGGGTGTTCAAGCTGCAGCAGGATGACCATCTGTCAAAGCGTTCTTGTGGGGATTCCGGGTAATATCAGATGACTGAATATTTCTACAGAAAAGACGGTGCCCAGAGTCTCTCGGTGGCACTGCTCTGGGATGCTAACGAGTGATTTCCTCTTGTCTCTTACAGCTCACAGCGCCACACTTCCCCATGGTTGTCAAGCTGGGACACGCCCACGCTGGAATGGGAAAGGTATGAGAAGCAGCTCTAATACTGGCCTTCATACCCACGCAGCCTCCCCAGACTACCTGTTCCCCTCTCCCTCTGTCCCCCTTCAGCCCCATCTTGGCTCAGGATGCACCCTGTCCTCCCCCCACCCCTCCTCTGAGCTCCCATAGCATGGAGCGTCTCTCCAGCTCAGTCTATACCCAATGAACCCTGCCAGGAGTTGCTAGTTAATTGTTTCCTATGATTGTGGATTCGGAGCAATGAATGTAAAGCATTTTATAGATGCTGATTCTTTTGTTCCCATCCTCATTTCCACGGCTGCTCTCTAAGCTCCTGTCTTACCCATCTCCCCACCACGTGCAGGGCCAGGACCTAGAAGGAGGCGAATACATATGGCTCCGTGGAGACGCCCCTGGAGTCAGTTAGCTTCTGCAAGAGTAAATCATATATTTTTCACAGGCACAGCTGACATATTTGTCATAATTGGTCAGATCTTTCAGTCGCAAGTGTAGAAACGCAACTCAAATCAGGAAGCAAAAGAGAATCCATTGGTTTGAGCCACCAGGAAGTCTGGGAGAGTTCTTGAAAGGTCTGGGCAGAGCTGGATCCAGGAGCCCAAGCAAAGCCATCAGACCTAGTCTCCTGTATTTCTTGACCCTGTTTATCTCTGCCTGGTGTTTTCTTCAGATAGTCAAGATGGCTGTGGGTGGCCTACCCTGGTCCCCAAGCTCGCTGCCGCAGAGGAAGAAAGACCGTGTCTCTTTCCAGCATCTCTGTGTAAATCCCATGGAGGCCTTGCTTGGGTTCCTGGGCCCACCTCCTGACCAGCACATGTGGAGATGGATGCAGCCCCAGTTGAACTGTGTGGATCAGGGTACCCACAGGAAAGGGAGATTTACTCCTAAATAAGAGCGGTGGGAATGTGGGAAAGCGTGGGGGCCACCACAGGCCACCTCTCAAGTCTCTGGCTCAAATAAATAGAAACCTTGATCTGAGTAGGCCCAGCCCAGCCCAGCCATAAATAATCCTGCACCTGGCGCCTTTATTCTTCCCCACCCTATTATGCCTTCTGTGTCATCTCTTCCCACCTAAACTCCATCCCCTTCAGGCAGCAAAGGGTGGAAAGGGCCAGACGGGTCAGGGCACGACCCACAGCTCTGACATTCGTGTGAACTTGAACAAGTTGCCATCTGACCTCTCTTGGCCTTTTCTGTCGAGTGGTGATGATTCTAACAACTGTCTTTAAAAGAAGTCCTCCCTCCCTCCCTTCCGTCTTCCTGAAAGGGCACACCGTGAGGGCAGGGGTCTTGCCTATTTGTCCACTGCCATATCCCTGGCCCAGTGGGGGCCCAGTGGCCCCTCAGCTTGTTGGGCAAGCAGATGGATGAGTGAGTCCCTCTTTAGACACGTCCCTGTGTCTGTGCCCCACTGCCCCTCCTCCTGAGCACCCCTGCACCTCTGCACCTGGGCTCCGGCCCCTCCACTCCGCTGAGGGGTTGCTTTAGTCCTCAGCGACCCTCTGCTGCTGAGTCAACGGGCACTTTTCCATCCGTATGGGAGCTCCCCTCCCTGTATCTCTTAAAGCTGCTGGCCATCCCTTCTGCCTGAAACTCCTTCTCCAGTGGCCTTTGACTCATGCTCCCCTCCTGGCTCTCCTCTGTCTCCACCACTCCTTCACAGTCTCCTTCGTGTTGTTTTCTTGCTGCCCCGTCTTTAACGTGTCTGTGCCAACAGCACACACAACCTGAGCACTCATCTGCCCTCTCAGCTCCCACGGCCACCTGCACACCACCAACAGCCCCTGGGTCACATTTCCCATCCAGAGCCTCAGCTCTTATATCCAGTTCCCTCCTCTACATGCCCCCCTTGTCTCCCATGGAAACCTCAGACTCTAACCGTCCCAGACAGCCTGCTCCCCCTCCTCGCCCTCCTCCTCCGCTTCCTGTGGCTGGCTCTGCAGCAGGAACCACCAGTCCCTCCATTGTCTCAAAACAGAAATCTGGGTGTCCTGGGAGCCCTGGGAGTCCTCTCCTTCCTCCACGTGCAATAGGTCCTCAAGTCTTGTCACTTGCCTTTGTTAATGTTGCTCAAACCAGTCCCTTTCTTGCCGCCCACTGCCACCATCTTGGACAACTCTAGTAAAACTAAAGAGTTCCCAAGAATTAAATTCTGTTTCTCAAGCTTCAAATTATCCCCGACAGGGAATACTTAAAGAGACTGATGCAATGCTCGGGGGAGGGGGTGGTCTGAAACTCAGGCTCAAAAGGGACGCCCAAAGCATGGACAGGAGGACACATATCCAAGGATAAAAAGTGTCACTGGCCAGAATAAACTAGGGTTTGCAGAAATGCTGACATCAAGGGAAAAGGGATCTTCTCCTTCAGTTTGGGATGAGAAAACTATCTGGAATGGCCTGGACATGCCGACTGAGGAGATGATGTCATATTCATGTCTGAGAGGGATAAAAACAAAATTGGTACCTTCTATGGTACTTCTACTTCTCTCAAGAAGGAAGATCGTCTTCCTGAGAACAGCAAAGGGAACCTTCCTAGGAGAAAACTGGTGAAGAGGTTGCCAATGGACTCAGTGTTGGTGGAAATCCACCTAGGTCCCTGCTGACCCATCGTCAATTATATTTCTCTCCTTTGTTCGTATATATTGATTAGTGCCTACTTGGTGCTGAGAATCAGAAGATAAATAGGACGCAGTTTCTGCTGTCAAGGACTTGGGGAGACAGGCACGTAAATAGGTATAATGTGTGTTGGGGGTCTGATAGGGTGTGCAGTAAGTACAGGGATTGAAGGAAAGAGCTTAATTATAGCTAGAGGATAGAAGGGTGGAAAGAAGCTCTGCATCTGAGGAATTGTACATGGTGTGCTGTGCCTGGAGGTAGAAGGAGTTCTAGCAAACAAGAAAGACTCAAAGACAAGAAAGATGGGCTGATACTGTCTTTTTTTTTTTTTTAAGATTTTATTTATTTATTTGACACAGAGAGAGAGAGATCACAAGTAGGCAGACAGGCAGGCAGGCAGAGGGAGAGGGAGAAGCAGGCTCCCCGCTGAGCAGGGAGCCCGATGCGGGGCTTGATCCCAGGACCCTGGGATCATGACCTGAGCCAAAGGCAGATGCTTAACAACTGAGCCACCCAGGCGCCCCTGATACTGTCTTAACAAAGAATAGAGTCTGTCATAAGGCACAGAAGTCAAAATATATTGAGATGCTATGCAGTGTGGGTGGGGGCATTAAGGTAGGAGGTAATCATGGGGAGCACCATGGGTTCTTTAGAAATCAGTCAGTCTAGACCAACGGTTCTTATGGAGGGAGGGGAATTCTGCCTCCATGGGGCAATTTTGGTTGTCACAACTGGGAGGTGGGGCTGGTACTACTGACATCTGGCATCTACTGAGTGGAGACCAGGGATGCTGCTGGGAACAGCCCATGATGCCTAAGACAACCCCACAACAAAGAATTATATAGCCCAAAATGTCAATAGTGTCTAGGTTGAGAAACCCAGGACAAAACTAATTTCATTTCCTTTGTTGAAAGTTTTACCAGACCAGAAACCAGAGGAAGCAATGGTTATTACACAGTTCAACATGCTTCAAAGTCTGTTCCAAAGAATTATAATTATTCAGATGCTAAAGCCTATGTTGGTCAAATAGGTTTGGAAAATCCTTTAAAGTAAGTTTTTATTTTATTTTTTAATATATTTTTTATTTAAATTCAATTAATTAACATATAGTGTTTTATTAGTTTCAGAGGTAGAGTTCAGTGATTCATCAGTCTTATATAATACCCAGTGCCCGTTACATCACATGGCCTCCTTAATGTCCATCAGCCAGTTACCCCATCCACCCACCACCCTCCCCTCCAGCAACCCTCAGTTTGTTTCCTATGATTAAGAATCTCTTATGGTTTGTCTCCCTCTCTGATTTCATCTTGTTTTATTTTTCCCTCCCTTCCCCTATGATCCTCTGTTCTGTTTCTTAAATTCCACATAGGAGTGAGATCATATGATAATTGTCTTTCTCTGATTGGCTTATTTCGCTTAGCATAATACCCTCTGGTTCCATCCACATCATTGAAATGGCAAGATTTCATTTTTTTCCTGATGGCTGAGTAGTATTCCATTGTATATATATACCACATCTTCTTTATCCATTCATCTGTTGATGGACATGTGGGCTCTTTCCATAGTTTGGCTATTGTGGACATTGCTGCTATAAACATTGGGGTGCAGGTACCCCTTCAGATCACTACATTTGTATCTTTGGGGTAAATACCTTGTAGTGCAGTTGCTGGGTCATAGGGTAGCTCTATTTTCAACTTTTTGAGGAACCTCCATACTGTTTTCCAGAGTGGCTGCACCAGCTTGCATTCCTACCAACTGGAACTTAAGAGTCATAAATTTGCTTAGGATACACTATTGGGGTAAAAGAACATGAAAGATGTGCTGAATTCCACAGACTTACCTAACTGCAGAAACCTTTGGCCATTTTTTTATTGTGTCCTTTTATTAATTTGTAAGAACTCTTTCCATATTAAGCACATTAAACCCTTGTCATACTTTGCAACTTTTTTTCTCCAGTTGACAGTTACATGTCCATTTTCTTACTCAGTTTTTAAGCATTTTTAAAGGTGTTTTGTTTTTTTTTTTATGGAGTCAAATGTTTCCATCTTTGGGAGGCAGTGTGTTATAGTGGCTACAGGTGTTGATTTGAATCTAGCAAGTAAGTTATATAGCCTCCCCCACCTCAGTTTCTTCAAATGTACAATGCAGGTAATCATAGTAGCAACCTCATAAGTTGGTTATGAGGATTAGAAGACGTGATGCAGGTCAAGCACACAGCTCTGTGCCTGGAACATGGTGGGCATTCAATAAATATTAGCTGTCATGAGTATTAAGAATGTTCAGGGGTGCCCAGCTGGCTCAGACGATGGAGCGCACCACTCTTGATCTCAGGGTCTTGAGTTCGATTTCCACAATGGGTGTAGAAATTACTTTAAATAAATAAATAATTAATTAATTACTTTTTAAAAAAGAATGTTCGGACATGCTCTGGGGTCCTAAAATCCAAAATTGAAGTCAATAAAGGAGATATGACTAAACAGCATCATCTGTCAGAGACTCTATTCCATTTGGCTGTAATTTCAGTATGAGTCAGATGAGTAAGGAGTTGCCAAAGCCTCTAATCCATAAATATGCAAAAAATAGATGAAAATGGGCTCACCCTCATTAGTCATTAGGGAAATGCAAATTAAAACCTCAATGAGATGCCACTGTGTAACCACCAAAAGTTCTAAAATTAAAAAGATGAGTAGTGCTAAGCATTGGCAAGGACATGGAAGAATTGGAACACACACACACAACTACTGAAAGTGCGAATCATTAAAACTGCTTTGGAAGACAGGTTGATGTTATCCACTGAGAAGTTACACAGAAGTTCTGTTAGGTATAGCCAGCCTAAATGCATGTGTGTGCTCACCAGTGTTTATTGCAGTTTGTTCATCATTGCCAAAACCCGGGCACAGCCCACGTACCCATTAATGATAGATTAGATAAATAAATTACAGTGTACTCAGACAAGTGGTTGCTTCCAGCGATGAGAATGAATGAACTACAACTATATGTAACAATGTCACACACTTATTTCATTGAGTGAAATAAGTCACATACAAAAGAATGCCTAGTTGAATGGTTCCATTTATATAAAACTCAGAACCCAGGGAAACTAAACCATAACGTGAAATGGGATACGTATTTAGATGATAAAATGTTTAAGGAAAACAAGAACATTATTACCATAAAACAGTAGAGGTTGCCTTTGTGGAGGATGCAGGAGTGATCATGGGGAGGAGGCAGAAGTGAGCAAAGTTCTAGTTCTTGACTTGGGTGGTGCTGATGTGGATGTTTGCTTTGTGATAGCTTGTTGGACTGTTGTTTTTGGACTATGCAATTCTCTGTATGTGTTATATTTCAAAGTAAAATAAGGCTTAAAAAATGTAATCCAGGACATGTTCATGGAGATCTGATATCCAGAATACAGTGAGAGTCCTGCAGTCTGTGGCCAGAAGATTGTTCTGGGTTCTGGGCTGTACATCCATTCTGGGTGTTTGAGAAAGCCATTGACAAATGAGTGTGTCCCGGGGAAGATTGGCTGTAATTTCAGTATGAGTCAGATGAGTAAGGAGTTGCCAAAGCCGGCAACTGAGCAGTGAAGGGAAGATGCATCTGCTAGAGACAGCATCACCAGCCTCTGCAGAAACATGGAGAATTGTCATGAGTAGATGGATGGGACCAATTTGAAATAATATCTAGCAAATCTGGGACCAAAGTTAGGAGGAAATGAACAAATCTCAATGGCGAAAATTTCTAACAATCTGAGGGGAACATTAACGGAATAGACAGTCCTTTAGGGAAGAGGTTCTCATCAATACAGAGTTGGACCAAAGATGAATACTTACTGGAAAGTTTCAAGAGAATTTAGGCATTGCATGAGCTCTTTAGCCTGAGACGTTTGAAACCACTGAAATTGGGACAAATCTGTGTATATGTTTTTGGGGGGTGTGTGTGTGTTTATGTGCAGATATGGTATGAACTTTCTGGGTGGGAAGGAGTCCATAGCTTCTTTCAGCTTCTCACAGGGGTCTGTGACCCTTCCAAAGGTTAAGACACCCTGGAGACACTCCTCTATATCTTCCAATGATGAGAATCTGTGGTTATTTTCAATAGTACGAGCAGTCCATTGAAAGGAATGGCACAAGATCATGTTACTATCAGAGGATTAGAAGTCAAGTTCAAGGCCAACTGCCAGTATAACGAGGGGCGGGTAATGTTTATAGTATCTGGAATTGAGGTTTTGGAGTTTGGATCTAGATTGACCATTTCCTGGCTGTGTGTCCTTGGGGATGTTGTTTAATATTTCTGTGCCCCAATTTCCTCATCTCCAATATGGGGACAATATCGCCCTCCTGGGGTTGCAATCCAGATAGAATAAATCACTCAAGGCTTGGTAGGGTGCCTGATAAGCACTCAGTGAATGGGAACTTTAAAAACCCACTACAAATATAAACTGTTATTCTTATTACTTAACCGCTTGTCTCAGCAACATCCCCAGGAGAGGCCAAATAACAAGTTAACTCCACCCTGGGAGGTGCCTTATCCTTATTTCATAGATTCACAGCCTCTCAGGGCTTGAGTCCTGGCACCTCATCTAGAAGATAAGAACGTGAGGCCCCAGAGAGGAGAAGTTCTTGCCCGAGGCCACACAGCGAGAGCATCCCGAATAACAGAGCAGGAAGGGAAAGAAAGAGCTTTGCGATTATCTGACTCCATCCCATACTTTAGAGATAAGAGCAGTAATAATAACAGTAACGTAATAACCATAATAATAATAAAAGCTAATGCTTAATAGAGTTTACTCTGCATGGGCACTGTTGTTTTTTGTTTTGTTTTATAAATTGGTTTTCTTTTTTTTTTTAAGATTTTATTTATTTATTTGACAGAGGGACAGCGAGAGAGGGAACACAAGCAGGGGGAGGGGGAGAGGGAGAAGCAGGCTTCCTGCCGAGCAGGGATCCTGATGCGGGGCTCGATCCCAGAACCCTGGGATCATGACCTGAGCCGAAGGCAGTCGCCTAACCAACTGAGCCACCCAGGAGCCCCAGCATGGGCACTGTTTTAAGTGCTTGAAATATATTCACTCATTGAGTGCAATCTTTATAACTCCCCTATGAGGTAGATACAGTTGGTACCCCCACTTTACAGAGGAGGAAACTGAAGCACAGGGAGTAGGTGGTGGAGTTGGGGTCCAACCCTGGACAGCCTAGTTCCAGTGCCTGGGCTCACAGAGGCAAAGGACGTTGACGTGGTCACAGGCTGACTGAGCCCAGACCTGGACATCCTAACACTTCCCCCGTGTGCACAGGGGTTGCTGTCCTGCTAAGCCTGGAATAGTGAGTGACAGGGTTCAGGTGTCCCTGCATCTAGTCTGGAGGACCAAGGTGGCAGCTCCTCAACTGGACGTTTCCAGCAGCCCAGGCGTCTTGCACACCCCACTGGGCCAGGGCTGTGGCTGTCACCAGCTCTGAGCAACCTGGGCTCTCGTATCCTCTCTTGGACTGACTCACTGAGTGATCTTTTCCCAGCACCATCCGCTCTTTAAGTAGGAGTCCTGGCCCAAGAACACGGTAGTGGAGGAGGGAGGACGAGGAATGAGCAAATGGACAAATGGAACCCAGGGGAGCCATTAAGAAACCAGAAGGTTCCCCAGCACCTGGGAGACCGCCAGAGAGCTCAGCAGAAGCCAAGTTGGGTGAGAGCAGGGGATGGGAGCCAGCCAGCAAGGTGTTCCAGGGGAGGGGCGTTCAAGGTCTCTGCCAGACTATGAAAGAGGACAGGGAGGGACCCTCACCCACTCCGCCACCCTCCCTCTCAAGTCCTCCCTCCCCCCACGTCCTCTCTCACCTACCCTGCCACCCCCTTGAGATCACCACCAGCTTCATGTATTCTCTGCTTCTCTTGAGCAAAATGGACCCTTAGCGGAGGATCTAGCAGTCCTTTACACCTTAGTGAAAATTTTAAGCACTGTGCTCTCCTTCTCAGAGCCTCTGGCCTGAGGTTGTCCTCTCTACAAGCACAGTATAAACCACCATTCTCATTATTCATGGATTCCGTATGTACAAATTCAACTACTCACTAAAATTTATTTGTAATCCCCAAATCACTTCTTCCGGCACTTTCGCACGCATTCACAGACATGTGCAGATCAGCCAGTAATGTGCGTGTTCCCTGCTGAGGTCAAGCAAGGCAACGGTGCGCCTTCTTGTTTCAGCTCTCATACTGTAAACATTACTATGTCGAGCCACACTTACACCTTCTTGCACTTTCTCGTGGTGATTTCATTGTTTAAAATGCCCCCCACACACACACACACAAGTGTAGTGCTGAAGTACTGTCTAGTGCAAGAAGTCCTAAGTGCAAGAAGGCTGTGATGTTTCTTACAGGGAAAAAAAATATGTGTTAGATAAGCTTTGTTCAGGCATGAGTTATAGTGCTGTTGGCTACTAGTTAATGAATCAACAATATATATTCAATAAGATGGCTTGAAATGGAAGCACACATACAACAGGTTATGTATTGATCAGTTGATGAAAATGTTTGTGACTGGAGGCTTCTAGGAACCCTGTATTTCTCTTAGGAACAATGGTTCAATATTCACTAAATCAGTATTGGCTGCAATGTTCTAGAAGATAACTATCGCAAATGAGGTTCAGCTCTGTGCATCTGTGTGTACATATGTACATACACAGCCATGTATTTGTACATATGTGTGTCTGTATCGCACACGCGTGGACACACACACATACACGTGTATTCTGTAGAGTCCTAAATGTCTCTTTCTTCCTTTGGATGCCAAAATGCCACGATTCTGAGCACAAACAGAAGCAAACTAAAACAGTCATTTTATGATTCTCTACCCTGGTGTTTGTCATACTAAAGGCAAAGCCACCTGGACCATCCACTCGTTTTTCTTTAGGAGGGCTTCGGGCTTAGATCTCTAATGGTGGCACTTCCTCTGCCAATTCCCACATCCTCGCATGGCTCTTGGTTGGCCTGGGTTCAGGAGACCTGGGTCCTTCCTGTCAGCCCTGCACCTCCAAGGCCAGCATATTGAACACATAATTTATTTAAACACATAAGTGCCATGTGTCAAATAGTCATGATTTTCCTCACCTGATCGCTCAGAAGAACAGTGAGTAGAAGTGTTAAAAGTAAGTGTAAGATGGGGAGGGAAGTGAAGGAGAATATGGGCTTTGAGCTTAGACCTCCTTGGGTTCTCATCTTGACTCTGCCATTTGCCAGCATTGTGACCTTGAGAAAATTATTCAACTTCTTTGGGATCACTCAAAGCAAACTAGACGGGAGGATGAACTAGGAAGAGAGAGAGAGTATACAATTCTGAGCACCCATGAGCCAGGATACATACCTTCAACATCTCCTCTGATCCCAGCTTTGCAGAGGTTCTAAGAGCTGTTTTGCCCAAAGTCACTGGTAAATGCAGGAAGCAGGATTTGAATCAAGATCAGCAGGTCCTTCCGCCCTTTGCTTTAGGCTGCCTGGGACACTTGGGAACATGCTGGTGCAATCATCTCTTCCCTTGATAAGGCAACGCGCCAGCTTCATTGGAGAGTTGATTTGTAAAGAATTTCACGGGGCTCCACCCAAAAAACATGTCAGTACCTTGGAGACCAGCACTGACCTTTCCATATGAACTCCTCTTGGCTGGTGGGCTGATCTCACCCCAGGCCCGAAGCCAAGACGGAGGACACTGATGCAAGACAATGAGAAGGAGAAAAAGAAAACTCTTACTCCTGGCACTGGGTTTTAGAGACCGTGTACACTCCCATCCCCTACAAGACCCATTTTGTCAAGAGGGACAGAAGCCCAGGGACAGATTGATCTGGAAAGAATCAGTTACCTGCTTTTGTGTGCACTCGCCACACAACTCTTCCATGAAAAGCAGAATACTTTTGACCGGACATTGAAAAGCAGTAAGATTTCCCTTTTTTTTTCTCTTCTCTGTTTTTCTGGTGATATCTATTGACCCATCTTGGTATTGTATGTAACAAAGACCAGAGATGTCATCCCCTTAGAAGCCCCTCAGAAAGAGGAGGCTGCATGTGTCGCCTGTTGAGGTGGGGAATGCTCCGTATAGTTTACTGGCTCTGATTACTGGCTCCGTACTTTTCCCCCAGCCTTAGACAGTCACATCCACAATGGAGGCCTCGTCAAGCTCCCGCCGTCCTTTAAGGTGGATAGTGCTCCCATGAAGCCCATTTTTCAGATGAGGCAAGCAGAGATCAAGGAGGCAAAATGATTTGCCCAAGGTTGCACACAGCATGCCGGGAAGGCTGCACACTCTTTCCACCGGTCCTGGCGCCCATGCCAAGAGGAGGGCCGCCTCCAGACAGGTCCACTGGGAGCACAGCCTGCGTGTCCACGGAGGCCGTCCTCAGCCAAAATGTGCAGGTGCGGCCCCTTCTTACTGTCAGCAGGCAAGAGAAGCAATGTCCTGCAGCAGGCAGAGGCTGCCTGCCTCACTGAGGCTCCGGCATGGCGCAGCCTCCCTCCAAGCTTCCTGGAAGAGAAACCAGCCACATCTCTGCCTTCTTGGAAGTCGGTCCATTTAGGGGCTGCTGGCTCTGCTACTGACGGGTGGCAACAGCAGGGTTGTTTGTGAGGGAAAGCCAGGGAAGGAGCTAACCAGGGAGCTTACTACATTTTGAAGCATGTGCATGTGTGTATGCACATGTGTGTGCACGTGCTCGTGCGTGTTGCTCGTGTGTGTGTGTGTGTGCATGCTTGGGGCAGGATGAGCAGATGTCTTAAATGGTTATCAGCAGTCTCGACTAAACCTCCGGACAAATGAGATGCTATTGGCAGACCCCGTTTTCTTGCCTCAACTCCTGGCCTCCAGTTCCCAGAAACCTCCACACCAATGCCCCATCCTCCAGGATCGAGGCCAGAAGATGCTAAGGAGGCAGTGTGGTGGGGCTGGGAATGATGTTCAGGCCTTCTTGTGTCATGACAAGAGGCTGTATTTAGAGGATTCAGCGGGGTCCATGGAGGAGGATGCTGGTAGTTAATGAAAAGGGCCAGGGGCCTCCAGCCACCCCAAGGGATAGGGGAACAGAAGCAAGAGCACCTATTGAGATGCTCTGGGTGGTGGACCAAGTGCGTGTAGCCCTGAAGGCAGACAGGCCTGAGCTTCTCAACAGCCTTGCTGCTCAAAGCGGGCTCTGTGGAAGGACGGACAGCCTCCGCAATCCCTTGGGAACCCCTGCAAAGCAGAACTCGGGCCTGTCCCCAGACCTGCTGAGTCAGATTCATCCTTGCAACAAGATGCTCAATGATCCACAGCTGCTCTGCACACCCAGAGGATGCCAACTCAGATGCCCACTGCATCCAGGCAGTCCCCGGAATGAATCAGAGGCCAGGTGGGGAGCGTGAGGACCCAGAGAGGCCAGGCCAGCCTGTGTGGACATCCACAACTCAGCCCCAGCAGGACAAAGCCCTGAGACACCAGTGCAGCCTGATCATCTGATTCTTTCATACAAAGCCAATTCTCTGGGTCTCTGATATGAACTCCCCTAATTTTAAAATATTGGCAACTAATTTTAAAATATTCAAAACACCATGTAGGCCAAATAAAACATGTCTTTTAGCCACTGAACACCCTTGGAGCACCAGTTGGGGGCCTCCAACTTCAGACTGTGAGTGTGGGCATACCCTCTCTTTCTGGGGGGCCATGGAGCCTCATGGTTAAGGCCACGAGGTATGCAGTAGACCCAGAAGTTCAAATCCCAGTTCAGCCACTTCTTAGTTATGTTATTTTGGTTGAACACTTAACTTGGAGTCTTTCTTTTCTTATCTGTCCAGTGGCCCTAATAGATCTCCCTAGTGGGTGTGGGGTTGCCCTGCTGACTGATTGAGATAAAGCACTTGTAAATACTTATAGATATGTAAGAGATAATTGATTCACTCCCTCTAGAACCTAAGTGCTTCCTACATTTTCAGCTGCTCACAGATCCCTTGCGGACCTTACTAAAATGCACATTCTGATTCACTAGACCTGGGCGGGGGTGGGGGCCCACCTGCGAGTCTAATAAGCTCCCAGGTGGTATCCGTGCTGCTAGTCCATGTCAACTAGTCCTGAGAGTCAGGGCTCCGCAAATTTTTTCCACACAGAGCCAGATGGTAAATATTTTAGGCTTTCGGGCCATATGGTCTGTGGCATCCACTCTGCTCTTGTAGGATGAAAGCAGCCCTAGACAATACGGACATGAATGAGTGTGGCCCTGTTCCAATACAGCTTTATTTATGGACACTGAAATTTCAATTTCATGTCATTTTCACGTGTCGTGGACTATCACTCGTCGTTTGATTTATTTTTTCCCCAACCATTTAAAAACTATTCTTATCTCATGGGCTGCACAAAAATTGGCAATAGCCCTCAGGACGTAGTTTGCAGATCTCTGCTCTGGGGCATCTTCAAATCCGAGCCAAGTCAGCCTCCCCTGCTGGGTTATAAACTTGCTGGGTGCACGAGTTGTGCCCACCAACTCCACCTCTCTTCCCGACCAAGGCCAGGCCCCGGACAGCAAGCCAGGCCCTGGCAATCCCCTTCCTTCACCCAGCACAATGCCCGGGGGCCTGGGAGGCTGAGGTGTTGCCTTGCAGAGCTGACATTTGTCAGGGGCCTCCCTTCCCTTCCATTCAATCTCACGGTCACACTATAACTCTATAAACATGCAGGCAAAAGAATCGGTGACCTGGGACCTCAAGAACAACAGAAGGAGTTTTGATTCATTTTGGGGAAGAGCAAAGGAAAGGAACCAGCGAACTGATAAGCAGGATAATTAAGCAGTTCCCTAAGCAGTCCATCAAAGACTCCCTGTTCCCATCACTTCCCACCCCTCCTTCTGACCCCTGGCAACACATGACCCAAGCCAGCTGGGGCGAGGACATCCTTTGGGCTCTCAGTCTCAGCCTTCAGAAGGATTGGAGGAGGGGTGAGGCTTCTGAAAATGTAAGGCCAAGGGCTCTCGTAGTCTTTCAACACATGGTAGTGGATTTGGTGCCCAGCCGTTCTGAGTCGGGGACTCAGTAAATGTTTATCGAATATTTTGGCAAATATTTATGAACATTTGTTATGTGCAAAGAGTAGGCTAGACTTCAGAATAGAGCGCTCTTGGTTAAGATCCAGAGGTGAAATTAAAATAACCTGTATATTAACTACACTGGAATTAAAATTTTATTTTTAAAAAATAGAGTCAATAGGGTGCCTGGGTGGCTCAGTTGGTTAAGCGACTGCCTTCGGCTCAGGTCATGATCCTGGAGTCCCGGGATCGAGTCCCACATCGGGCTCCCTGCTCAGCGGGAGGTCTGCTTCCCCCTCTGCCCTCTTCCCTCTCGTGCTCTCTGTCTCTCATTCTCTCTCTCTCTCAAATAAATAAATAAAATCTTTTAAAAAAAAATAGAGTCAATAAAATTTAAAAAATAAATAAATAATTTTTTAAAAAGATCCCGAGGTGAAAAAAAGACATGGCTTCTGAATGCAGGGAATTTATACACAAAACACATAGGCTCACACTAGACTACAGTCTGGTGCAGGGCTTGGCAAACTACCACCCACAAGCCAAATCCAACCCCTGACCTGGTCTTGTTAATAAAGTTTTATTGTAACATAGCCCTGTCCATTTGTGTGCGTATCGTCTATGGCTGCTTTCATAGGACAACATCAGAGTTGAATAGTTTTTATGGTCCGCAAAGCCTAAAATATTTGTCATTGTACTCTTCACAGAAAATGTTGATTCCTGGTCTAGTGCAAAGCTTTTCCAAAAATTTGTATAGCAAACCACAGTAAGTACTAGATTGTGTCTTGCCAGCTGATTCCCAGATATTAAATATATATTGTGATAAGTTCGAAAGAATAAAACTTGTCTTTTCTATGTGCAAGGCATTCTGATATGTATTGTTCCAGTCTGTCATCTTTTAAAATGTTGGTTGTGACCCATTAAATTGATTTGATGACCCATTTCAAACCCACAGTTTAAAAAAATCCTGATTCACTGGAAAGCACAGCATGTTTACTCATTCATTTATTTGGGAAATATTTATGGAGTGCCTTCTACATACCAAGGACTATTCTGGACACTGGAGATGCAGTAATGAACACCACAGAGTCCCTGTCCTCATGGAGCTTACATGTAGTGGTGAAAGGCAGATGATAAAAGCATAAACAAATAACAACTGTGATATGTCAGTGATGAGAAAGACTCTGAGGACGAAAGAAACAGGATGAGGGACACAGCATGATGGGGCAACGAGTAAGGAAACCTTTCTGTGAGTTGACATGTGGTCATGTGGAGGAAGAACATGACAGTGAGGGAAGAGCACATACAAAGGCCCTGAGGCAGGGCCTCTGTGTGGTCAGGAATGGGCAGAGGGCCCGTGGGGCTACAGTGAGTGCTTGAGGTGACAAGTGGCAGGAAATAAGTCCAGAGAGCCATGGAGAGGTGGTAGAAGAGCATGTAGAAAGCTGACTACAATCCAAGCTGAATGAAGTAAACCTTACAGCAGAAATACCAGCCAAGCGCTAAGAAAGGAGTCCAGATAAAACTGGATGAAGGCAGAGGGAGAAATTAATTATAGAGGGAAATGTCAGGGGGAGTGGGAGTATCTTCATGGGGTACCAGGGAGACTTCCAGGAGGCAGGAGCTTTAGCTGTGTCTCAAACAACAGGGAACAATAGGGACACATACTGCAGGTGGATAACAGCTGAGAAAAGCATCCCAGGCAGCAGGATCCGCCCCCTCCCCCCCAAACACACACACAGCGTAAAGGCCTAAGAGAGCATCACAAGCTGTCAGGTGTCGTGGGGACAGTGGTTGACAAGCTTAGCAGCACCTTAGAAGCACCCAGAAAGCTCTGAAATTATACCCCTGCCTGGGGCCCACCCCCAGAGACTCTGTCGTGATTGGCTGGCAGAGGGCCCAAGCACTGGCATTTTTTGGTCCCAGGTGATGCTAACGGGAAACCAGTATTCTGGAGCTCTGGGCCAGAGTGAGACCTGGGAGAGTAGGGGAGGCTGGGGAGGGGACGGGACCAGATCCTAGGTGCACTTTAGGCTGCACTCTACAGTTTGCACTTTTTCTTCGAGCTAAGAGAGAGAGCCCCTGGTGCGCTGGAAGCAAAGAATGGGTATGTTTGGATTCGTAAGGCAGCAGTGTGAGAACAGAGAGGAGTGGGGGGCTGAGGGGGGAGATTAGCGCCCCCTTGAACCCAAT